TTATAAATGTGAGATCGCGATGAGCTAAGATGAGTGACAGCTTTTAATGATTTTTAAAGGAGTTTGTAAATGTGATAATGATTTAATACAATAAAATTAAATAAACAAGAAGTTAATATTACGTGACTTACATTGTCTGACTATAACACTATTGTCTGTTTTGCTCTATTTCGTCGTCGAAAATAGTTTAAAACAAAGACACAGCGGAGCCGCTGCACATCTCCATTCAAACACAGCGGTGTCTCGTTTTTGAATGAACGTGCGTTTCTGAACGAATCTAGTGAGTCAGTGATTCATGATTACCCATTCATAAAGACAGTCACTTGATTCATTCCTGAATGATTCTGCCGTTCGAATGAATCAATTGAATGAATGATTCAGTAATAAAAATCAGTGACTTACCGCCACCTGCTGGCAGTTTGTTTCATTTTTAAAGTATCTTTTCAGTTATTTAAATAATTTAATATTTCTATAATATTTCTTCAAAATTGTATATTTAAAACATTAATATCATCATGAATTTATGGATTTAATTGCACTCATTCCACTTCTGAGCCTCATTAAATGTCTGAAAGTACACCAAGCCACTTTTGTGTTCTTCTGTGCCACCTCTACAAACTAATTTTGTTAATACTGATTTAATTTGACTTAACTTATATTTCTTATTCTACTTGTTCTTATTCTGTCGTTTTAATTACAATTTTTAAAAAGCTTATAAAATATAATTTTTTTAAGAATTTGACAAAAGATGACATACTTTTAATAAAGTTAGAGGAGTCAAATATCACCTCGTAATGGGAAGGCTACTTTTTGATAAAATGTTGGATAATTGTTTAGAAGGTGCTCCTAAAATTTTGAACGTGTTCCTACATTTTTTAAGTTAGGAGCACAAGTGCTTCTAAAAAGAATAGTAAGCGTAGAGCCCTGTCTATAGTTAACTCCAGTCCAGAAGGAAGCGCGCTATTCCGTTATCAAGTGACGTATTATACACGCGCCGTTCGGTGTTCTCGTACGTATTTTTGTAAACAGTCGCTTTTCTGGATTAAAGAAATCCGTTTATTTCTCTCAATGGACGAAGAATACTACGGCAATGCTGGAGAATGGGAGGGACACGACGGCAACATGGTAACGTTAGTTTACTGAAACCACACCACAGACACCAAAACCATGAAATTATAATCTGATTTAAAGTTACTAGCTACAATTT